GGAGTTCAAAAGCAGTTTTTGTAGTCCTGAATACAGGTCCCTTCCCCTTTTCTCACTGGCTGAATACTGAGTAGTTGGGAGAGTGTAATCTTTCTTGTACATAACCTACATTTATTATTTTCCTACTGGCATTAAGTTATGATATTATTCCTTCAAGATGAGAGGTTTACTGTCTACAGAATCAGGTCACAGTGCCTCTTAGAGGTGACAGGCCTTTGCCGTGAAAGTCACCAGTAGGTAGGTGCCTTGACAGGCCTGAAAACTGAAGACAAGTTTGTGCTGCTACACCATCCAGTAATCTAGGTTTATAAAAGACTGGGGGAAAGAAAAGAAAGAGAAAATAAACATTCTCTTCATCTCTGTAGTCCTTGAGCCATTTATCCCATAGCTAGATCACATATTAAACTATAGCACCTTACTTTGGAGTGAATTTTATAAAAGGTAAGTCTTTCCTTTCTTCCCAGATACCTGTTACTTAGAGACTCTAATTGTATCAACTTAGAGGCTGGAAAAGTAGCTCAGTGGTCATTTGTTGCTTTTTCAGAGGACCATGGTTCAGTTCCCAGTACTCATTTTGTGGCTCATAACTTCCTGTAACCTCCATTCCAGGGAATCTGATACACTTTTCTGGGCTCTGCAGGCAGACACCAGGCATGCACATGATACATATACAGACAGACAGACAGACAGACAGACAAAACACTCATGCACACTACATAAAATAAGCTAAATACATTAGCTTAGTCACATGTGAAGCCTGCCAGTGAGTTTTTTTTTTGAGATTTATTATTTTTATTTTACTTGTTTTGTTCATATGTATGCCTGTATACCATGTCCATGTAATGCCTGCAAAAGCCAGAAGAGGGTGTCAGATCCCTTGGAACTGGAGTTAAGATTTTTGTTTTGTTTTCCATTTTCTCATAGTCTTTGTTTCATTTTGTTTCTTTTTCTTTACAGATGTCTTGATTTTTTAACTTTCTTTTTATTTATTCTATGTATCTTTTATTATATCATGTATTTTGATCCCTTCATCTTCCCATCCCTTCACCCCCTCCAGTAAAACAAAATTTAAGAGAAAAAAGGGGGGAAAAAAGGAAGAGGAAAAAAATTTAAAATCTCATCACAGAAGCTGCAGTGTGATACAATGAGCCATTCCGTAAACCCCTTGTCCATGTATCTTTACTTGCAAGTGTTCATGGCAAAGAGGCCTCTTGTTACTACTCTATCAATGCTGGGCCCTCACTAGGTCTCTTCTTGGATATCCTGTTGTTGCCCTGTGTTGTGGAGATCCTGCAGCTTTGGGTCTATAGGTCAGGTCCCTTCATGTGCTCCAGTAGATCATAGATGGGGTGGATGTTGGGGTGGGCCAAGTCATAACCCTGGTTCTGGGCCTGGGCAGCTGCAGGGTTGGTCCGCCTGCCAGCTCTTCCTTGTCCTCACCACCAGGGTGAGCTCTCCATCATTGCCCTGGCTAGATCACCTCCTGCAGTGATGAGCAAGGTGAGGCCAGTTCTCCTGTTTTCATGCCCTCAGGGTTGGCTCTCCCACATCTACCCCCATCAGGGACAGCTCTACTGTGTTGCCCAGGTGAGGTACAGGGGCCACTCTCCTCAGCGCTGCAGCTGGTGAGGGGCAGGGACAGTCCTCCTGCTCTTATGATCCCAGGGCCAGCTCCTCCACCAATCTCAGGCATTGATGGGCCAGAGGTTGATGGGGGAGGGTATCTCTTCTCTGCCCCCAAATGTCAAGATGAGTAATGGGGACAGGTTAAGGTGGTTGTTAGCCAACACTAGGAATTAAACTCCAGTCCTCTGGAAGAACAGTAAGTGTTCTTAACTGTTGAGCCATTCTGAGGTTAATCTGATAAACTCAAGAAGTCTATTGTACTTTTATTCTAAAAAAGATGATAGTACTTCAGTTCTTGTAGGGGTTTACAGCAGTGCATTCCTGTCTTTTACACATTTCACCGTGATCTTCAGGATTGTGAATGTTATCTGAGATGTGGTGACCTTTTGCAATGTTGTAAAGAGATGATCTGGAAGACTGGCTTCTATTTATTCTTCAGCCTGCAAAACTGACCTCACTTTTCATACAGTGTATTATCTGAGATATAGTTTATCCTACAGAGAGTGAATTCAGCTTTGACAGAATTCAAGTTTCTCAGAAATTTCTTATATTACTAAGAAATAATTAATGGATTTTCTGGCTTTCAATGGCTCCTAAAAGCAGTGGGTTCCCAACTTCTAAAAATCATCATATTTTTATGTGATTGATTTTGTCCTTGGTAGCAGAGACTTGTTTTGGAAATCTAAATATTAAGTACTTTGTGATATCAAATTACCTCTGGAAAAGCTTCATAGACTTGAGTTTTCCCAATCACAAACCATTCTACTTATCTTTAAATGACTGCTCTGGACAGTACTGTAGAGTGCCAATGCAACACCACCGCTGTCGTCACTAATGAAGTGCTCTTTTCAGGCTCTCACTGAACCAGAGACTTCTGACTTGGTTTTAGGATCTTCCCTAAACTTGATGCTGTTTCCTGCTGTGTAACCTTTATTTCTCACTGAGAATTCATGTCATTTCTCAGCAAGGAGGCTTACCTCTTATGTAATTTTGTTACTTTCCCCTTCACAAATTCTATTCATCATTGTAAGATTTTAAATCATAATACTTAAAAATTTCTCAGAGAAAGGAACCACACTATCGTGTAGCTTATGATCAAGAACTGATTGTGCCTTTAGCAGATTTACTGCAAATCTCCCTAGAAATCCCACTGGAGTATTATTTGTTGCCTCACAACTTATTTATGGGGATAGTAGACAGAAACTTGTCAGGCAGTTTAGGGGAGAGGACCCTGATTGTGAACAATATTTCCTTGGCTAAAATGCTGGATATGTCCTAAAATTTCTTAGCAGTTTTGTTCTCACCAGACCAAACACTTCATCTCCTCCTAGTACCTCCATCTAGTAGAGTCATATTAACTATAAGGCAGTGACCCTCGATGGTATCTCATTTCTGAGGACCTATTCTTGCTTGGCATGATCTTTGCCTTCTCCCTTTCTCTTCTCACCTGTGAATCCAGAAGACATGTTCCAAAAAACTTGACCTCTGTTGTCTGTGGATCTCATTGTTTGAAAGCTACTGATTAAGTAGAAGCTTTGTATGAACATAAGGGTCTAGCAACCTAAGTCAGGTTAAAGCCCACCTAAGATGGGAAAAGGGTCTCCATTGAACTCAAAGACATCCCTCATTGCCCAAGTGATTACTTCCAATATACAAATATCAGGGATCATATTTCATAACAGATCTTAAGTCACTCCTGGAATTTGACCCCTTATCAGAAGTAAACTTAGCTGGGCATGGCGAGGCATTCTGAAAGCTAAAGCAAGTCAATCTATATGAGTTTGAGGCTAGCTTGGCCTACATCCTGAGTTCCAGGCCAGCCATAGCTACACATTGAGATCCTATATCAAAAACAAAACAAAAAACCCTTAAAAATAAATGAATAAGCTATATGGTAAAATTTTTAATTTTACATTTGTCAGATCTTACCAACTGGTAAGACATTCATACGAAGTAGGGCATTGGGGAAGTCTACAGTTTTGGAATGATCTGGGAACAAAATGTGTGTGTGTGTGTGTGTGTGTGTGTGTGTGTGTGTGTGTGTGTGTTTGTGTGCAAAATGCTCTTTACATATAATAAAATTTGCCATCTTAATTGTATAGTTTGGTTGCATTTAGTATATGTACAATTTTATGTAGCTATTACTACTATCTACTTTTAGAAGGTTTTTATCATCTCAGATAGAAACTATATATTAACTGCTGTGGGATAGTCTTTCTATGTGCTATGAATATGTGTTGCTACCACTGGTTAATAAAGAAGGTGCTCTGGCCTATGGCAAGACAGGTTATAGCCAGGCTAGAAATCCAAGGAAAGATACAGAGAGAAGAAAGGCAGAGTCAGGGTAGACACCATCCAGCCACCCAAGGAGCAAGATGCCAGCAGACTCATAATACCATGCCCTCATGGCAAAATACATATTAATAGAATGGGTTAATTTAAGATGTAATACCTAGCTATCAATAAGCCTGAGCCATAGACAAAACAGCTTGTAATTAATATTAAGCCTCTATGTATTTATTTTATAAAAATGGTTGCTGCCTGGGTGGGACCGAGAAACTTCAGTCTACATTTAAACACTGCCCTTGCCTCTCAGTGCCAGTAAATTCTGTTGTATTTCCTGTCTATGAACTTCCCTATTCTAGCCACCTCTTATAAATAGAATCATACAATATTTTCTGTTTGTGGCTTATTTCATTCATCTCCAGAACCATGAGACAATGAATTTATGTTGTATGTGCTGCCCAGTCTTTAGTATTTTGTTATGTTACCCCAGTTAGCTAAAAGATTCATTTAAGATTAAAAAGATTAAATAAGCTTGTGTATTAGATAGGTTCTCACTCTGTAGCACACCCACACTGGCCTTGATTTTATAATCCTCTTGCCTCTGCCTCTTGAGTGATGGAATTATAGCTGTGTACAATCTTGATTAAATAACTTTTAAATTCTCTAAAACTTTAAAAAAGTTGGATATCATAAAGATTGAAGCATACAAGAGCATGCTACATTGGGTTAAAGGAATACTTAAGTGGCCACTACAATAGGCAGTTATCATCATTAAATTTCCGTGTCTCCTATAGTCATAGAGGTCAATCATTCTGAGAGGTTGAAAGAGTCTACTATGCTATTTTGATGATTGATCTTCATTGTCAATTTGACTAGGTTTGGAAGCCCTCAAGAGACACATCTCTGAGCATGTGTATGAAAGCATTTCCAGAGAGTTCAACTGAGGAAGGCAGACTTACCTGATACAGCACCATCACATGGATGGGAGTCCCTCATTGAGTAAAAAGACTTAAAACAAAAACAAACAAACAAAAATTACAAAGTAAGCTAAATATCAACATTATGTCTTTCTCTTTCCTGATTACCAGTACAAAGTGATCAGCTGCCTCGTTCTTCTGTCCGTCATACCTTAGGAGTCTTTGACTGCTATGCCTCCATCACTATGGTGGACTGTACCTTCAAACTGTGATCCAGAGTAAGTCCCTTCTTCCTTATGGTATGTCTTGTTATGTATTTTGCTACAAGAGTAAGATGGTAACTAAAACAGAAAGCCAATGATTGGCTTCAGAAATTGGAAAGAATAACTGTAATGTTCTGGTTGTAAATTGCCTTAGGATATTCTCTGAATTTTCAGAAAAGACATTTAGTAGATGTACTAGATAGTTTTTCTGTCAGCTTGACACAGGATAGAGTGATTTCAGAAGTTATTTCCATTGAGAAAGTGTTCCTAAGATTGTCCTGTGGATTAGCCTGTGGGTCATTTTCTTGATTAATGATTTATGTGAGCAGGCCTATTCTAAAGGAGATGGTGCCATTCGTGGGTAGGTGGTCATGGATGATATAGGAAAGCATGTTGAACAAGCTATGAGGAGCAAGCCAGTAAACAACATTTTCCATGGCTTCTGCTTCACTTCCTGCCTCCAGGTTTTATTATTTTACATCCTTTCTGACCAGTACCATTTGCTGAAGATTCTGTCTTTTCTCTGGTATGTATTGTAAGTCTCTTTGTAAAAAACCTTGGTGGATGTAGGAGTGATCATGTAAAACATTTTGTAAGGTGTCATGGGTAATTTCAAGGCAAGGAAGATAGAATACTGTGATGATACATTGTATACCTTAATAAAATTTGCCTGAAGATCAGAGGACAGAACAAGCCACTAGATTAAACATAGAAGCCAGGCAGTGGAATTACACACCTTTAATCCTAGCACTCAGGAGGCAGAGATCCATCTGGATCTCTGTGAGTTCAAAGCCACCATGGATTACATAAGATTGACCCAGTCTAGGTGAGAAAAAGAGCCAGGCAGTGGTAGCACACATCTTTAATCTCAGCATTTGGGAGTCACATTCCTTTAATCCCAGCACTAAGAAAGAAGTGATATGGATGGACAGAGAAAGGTATGTAAGGCATGAGGAGGCAGGAACTAAAAGCCTTTCATGCTGAAGGCTTTTCAGCTGGGGACTCAGAGACATTCAGTTAGAGGATTCCTGGAGTTGGAGAGGTAAGAGGTGGCAGTGGCTTGTTCCTTTGTCTTTCTGATCTGTCAGCATTTACTCCAATATCTAGTACCGGGATTTTTATTAAAAGGCCATTCAGCAATTCATGTAAGATCTGGCATCCAACTTTCGGGGCATGAATTCATGAAAAAGCCGCTTGCCAGAGCTACATGAGGCCAGAGTCCCTACCCTGCCAGCTAAGATTTTTGTTGCAGCCTCTCTGCAGCAAACTCCATAGTTTTGGGGCTCCAAAAACCACAGGAGTTAGCCACTTTTGCACATTTTTCCAGTGTGGATACCTGGAACTTTGACTTCTTTCCTCTCCTGGTGGGTTCTGGCTTTCTCTGGGTTCCCTCCTTGGGCTGCTGTCACATCGTCATCTGAATTGTCACTGTCAGCAGATTTGGTGAGTCAACTGGGATTTCTTAAGTGGAAGAATAAGTTAAAAGAAAGTTTTTTTTCACCACATTAAAAAATGGGAAACATTTTTACAGTGGAAGGAGTTTGATCTCTGTTTGATAATATGCTTGATGGTCTGAAAATGGAACAATTAAATGAGAGGATAATTAATGTTGATGGGATTTATGTAATGTCAATTATAAATATTATTTGGTTGATCATTTCTGTTTTATCATTAAAAAAGTTGGTTAATATGAGTGCCAAGAAAAAAGATTTAGAAAAACCTGTTAAAACAGATCATAGAGATATTCAGACAGAGACAGGAGAATTTAAAGGAGAACCAATCTCAGTATTTCATTATAAAGTTACAGAGAAACAGCCTAAGGCTATCAAACAGCCAACCTTAATTTATCCAATATCCTTACAGGAACTACCAAATGAAAGATATCTCCAAGACTGGATACAAGCTGATTGGACTCCTGTGCAAATGTTAGATTTGAGGAGATTCAAAGAAGCAATAATCTCATATGGCATCCATTCATCTTTTGTGAAGCAGATGTTAAACTTGTGGTCAACTTGTAATACAAAGACAATCTTTATATGAAGACCAACTCCAGTTTTATGCTGAATGGCAGCCTTGAATGTCTGGGGCAGAATTGAAGAAGTAGGAAGGAAAATTAAGTCATTTACAAAAGTTTAACAGGGCCCAAAAGAAACCTTCACTGATTTCTTACAAAGACTGAAGGCAGCAGGAAATAGAATGATACCAAATTCAGAAGCTAGGCAAATAATAACTGAATCTCTGGCTTTTAAAAATGCTAATGCATAATGCAAAAGGGTAATTAGGTCATTAAAGGCAAGATCAGCACCCTTGGAGGAATGTATCTGAGATAGAATTAATGTTGAATCTCATGATCATGGTGATGCTTAGAAAGGAGAAGTTATTCCCAGAGGTTTGAAGAAAAATAATAATGTCAAATGTTTCAATTGTGGTAAACAAGGGCACCTAAAAAGTGACTATAAACAGGGTGTTCCTAGAAATATGTTTTCTCAAGGAATAATCCCAACAGAATGACCCTCCCTTCTGGATGATGCTGAAAGTATGGCAAAGGCAGACATTAAACTAACAAATGTAGATCAACAAGGGACAGACAAGGTAAGCCTTTGCATTTGCTGTCAGGAAACTCCTTGAGGGGCCTCTCTCAGGCCCCCATGTCAAATTCGGTTCAGTCCTTTCCTGTCACCATGGAAGAAACTCCTTCTCAGAGCAATTAAAGAACTTAATGTCTATTGTAAAAAACCATATTGCTCAGGGTGATAGAACAGCTGTAGAAGAAAGAACAAAAAATTTGGTAGAAACCGTAAAGTGAAATTTTTGGCAAACTTCTATAAATGGACAAAGACCAAAATTAAAAATATGAATAAATTACATTCTCATTGAAGGTCTTGTAGACACAAGTACAGATGTAACAATAATTGCATCAGAATTTTGGCATCCAAATTGGCATCTTCATGAGGTAAATGTTCAACTTTTAGGAACTGGCACATTATCCCAAGTGAAACAGTGCATGAGATGGGTCAAATGTATAGGGCTAGAAGGACAGAGAGGAAAATTGAAGCCATATGTGTCTAATATAGCTATGAATTTATGGGGACATGATTTGTTAAAGCATTGGAATGCACAGATTAACATTCCTCCAATCTCAGAAATGAACCATAAACTAACATATGTTTCTGAGAAAAATATTAGGAAGTATTATAAAGAACAGTCACTAACCATCCAGATTGTACAAGAACAAGACACAACAGCTGCTGATATTTCAAAGACACCAAATTCCCTACCTTTAAAATGGTTAACAGACAAGCCTACATGGGTTCAGCAAAGGTTTTTAATAACAGAGAACTACAGGCCTTAGAACAGCTGGTACAAGAGTAGTTAAATGCTCAGCATATTGAAGAATCAACCAGCCCTTGGAATTCTCCTGTATTTGTTGTTAAAAATAAATCTGCTAAACGGAGAATGGTAACAAATCTAAAAGCTGTTAACAAGGTAATTCAGCTAATGGGCTCTGTACAATCTGAAATTCCTTTGCTTTCTCTGTTACCTAAAGGATGGCCTCTTATCGTTATCAGTTTAAAAGAACATATCTTCTCAATACCATTACAAGAAAAAGACAGAGAAAAATTTGCCTTCATGGTGCCTACATATAATAATTCTCAGCCTGTTAAGAGAGATCAATGGCAGGTTCTCCCACAGGGAATGTTAAATAGCCCAACCCTGTGCCAATATTTTGTACAACAGCTGTTGGAATTAATATGTAAACAATTTCCTCAATGTATAGTGGCGTCCAACGTGGTGGCAAGAGTTTCCACCTAAAACCTGAAAAAAAAGATTCTAAAATGGAGCTAAAAACAGCTTCCTAATTGTCTCTCTCAAATGAGCGGCAGCTGCTGGTTTGAGCTACTGGCGGGTTGCTGGCATGCGCGCTTGACCTGCAGTATGGCGGGAATGAGGCCTCTACAAATGGCACATTAAGCTACATTGTGGATTTAGCCTTTGCTAGTACAAAACAAAAAAAGAGGTTTCTGGGCTACACGCTGCTTGGATAAAAGCATAGACCCACAATAGCTCCCAGAGCTGGTGGTAAAGTACCACACCATGTTGGGAAGCTGAGGTGGGTGGAGCCAGCAGCCACAGCTGCTGCAGCTTAAAGCAATAGATTCACAATAAGACAGATTCAGATGTAATAGTTTAAAATGTGTGTAAAATATATGTAGGCTTAAAAGAGACAAAAAAAGGTGATATATACAGTATAGAAACAAATACATGGTTTTAAAAAATAAAGTCTTTAAAGAGACAGTAAAATTAATATAAAAAATAAGCCACGTAGAGATGACTATTACACAGAGAGTCTGGATTGTGTTGTCTTTGGGATTCTTAACTACAGAGAGATATTTGATTGTAAAGGAAGCTGAGTTAAACCAGTATATATATTTTAAAGATACTTTGACTTCAAAATTTGGATGTAAGGATATGTTGCTTTGGAAAAGAGTCTCTTTTGTTTCCACAGAAAGCAAGAGGCTATAGATTTGTTCCAGAGTAAGATACATCAGGTTTGACCAGCCAAGACCCCCTGAAAGGTCTCTGATGACACCATGGCCCAGATGATCCAACATCCAGAACCGTTTCAAGACAACTGGCTCAGATGATACAGCATCACGGACTACTCCATGATCCTAAAATTTTCTTTGTTTCCCCAGAAGATACAGCGCCCCCCTCCAGCAGGAAGTAGTAAGAGAAGCTACGCCCAAATTCCCAAATATACCAAGCTGACTTTGGAGATGTGTAAAGGTTAAAACCTTCCTTTTTAAGAAAAGAAAAGGGGAAGTGCTGTAAGATGGTCTGTATGTCAAATGTGTTGCTGATTGGTCAATGAATAAAACACTGATTGGCAGTAGCCAGGCAGGAAGTATAGGCAGGACTAACACAGAGGAGAATAGAGAGAACAGGAAGCTGGGTGAGAGAGACACTGCCAGCTGCCATCAGGACAAGGAAGATGTAAAGTACCGGTAAGCCACAAGCCACGTGGCAAGGTATAGATTAATAGAAATGGATTAATTTAAGCTGTAAGAACAGTTAGCAAGAAGCCTGCCACGGCCATACAGTTTGTAACCAATATAAGTCTCTGTGTTTACTTGATCGGGTTTGAGCGGCTTGGGACTGGCGGGTGAGAGAGATTTGCACTGACCGTGGGCCAGGCAGGAAAACTCCAGCTACAGTATAGTTTATTATTTCATGGATGACATTTTACTAGCTGATTCAAATGTAGATACTTTAGAAAGAATGTTTGAAGAAGTAAAGCAAATTTTGCCTTGTTGGAGACTTCAAATTGCTTCTGAAAAGATACAAAGAGCAGATTCTATTAATTATTTAGGATATAAAATAGGTCTTCAAAAAGTTAGATCCCAAAAGGTGCAAATTAGGAGAGATTGATTATGGACTCTTAATGACTTTCAAAGACCATTAGGAGACATTTCCAATCTACGGACCACTATTGGGGTAAAAAGTGATGAACTGAGTAATTTGTTCAAAACCTTAGAGTGTGACAAGGACTTAAGTAGTCCAAGAGAATTATCAGCTGAAGCTGAGAGAGAATTGGCTTTGGTGGAAAAGAAAATACAGGATGCACATGTGAATCATTTGGATCCAAAGATTGATTGCATTTTGGTTGTTTTACCCTCTAAGCATTCTCCTACAGGAATTTTAATAGAAAGGCAAGACATTATATTGGAATGGATATTTCTACCAAATAAACAGAATGAAAAATTAAAAACTTATATGGAAAAGATTCTGAATTGATTTTAAAAGGAAAATTGAGACTTCATTGTTGTGGGATGTTCTGTATGTTAAATGTGTTGCTCTGATTGGTTAATAAATAAAACACTGATTGGTCAGTAGCCAGGCAGGAAGCATAGGCAGGACAAAGAGAGAAGAGAATTGTGGGAACAGGAAGGCTGAGGCAGAGAGACGCTACTAGCCGCTGCCATGAAAAGATGTTAAGATACTGGTAAGCCACGAGCCACGTGGCAACTTATAGATTAATAGAAATGGGTTGATTTAAGATATAAGAACTAGACAGCTAAGAGCCTGAACCATTAGGCCAAACAGTTTAAATAATATAAGAGTCTGTGTGTTTATTTTATAAGTGGGCTTCAGGACTGCTGGGGCTTGGTAGGAGCTGGAGAGAAGCTCTCCAGCTACACTTCATCAATTAGCAGGAATAGACCCAGCAGAAATTGTAGTATCTTTAACTAATGATGAAACTGACAAATTATGGGCAGAACGTGAACCTTGGCAAAAAGGTTGCAGTAATTTTTTTGGGATAGATTAACAACAAATATTCCAAAAGCAATAGAACTCAACTTATAAAGAGAACTAACTGGATACTGCCTCTCATTGCACAGGAAACACCAATATCTGGACCCCCTACAGTTTGTACTGAGGCAAACAAGTCAGGAAAGGCAGGTTACAAATCAGAATATTTAAGTAAAGTGATTCAAAGTCCCTATAATTCTGTCCAAAAATTGGAATTATATGCCATTCTGATGGTATTAATGGATTTTTTGGAAACTCTCAACATAGTTACTGACTCCCAGTATGCTAAAAATATGGTCTCACACATTGAAAGTGCTGAATTTATTCTTGATGAGTCAGAATTAACTTTGTTATTTATTCAGTTACAAGAAATAACCAGGAATAGGAATCATCCCTTATATGTAACTCACATCTGATCCCATACAAGTCTGCCAGACCCTCCAGCACAAGATAATGATGAGATTGATAAACTTTTGATAGGAAATGTGCTGGAAGCTTCAGAATTTCATAAAAACCATCATGTCAATAGTAAAGGTTAAAAAAAAAAGATTTTCCCATAACCTGACAACAAGCCAAGGAAATGTCCTACTTGTTCTTTATACAATCAAACTCCACTACCAGCAGAATATAACCCAAAGGGTACTTAGCGGAATGAAATCTGGCAGATGTATGTGTTTCATTTTGAAGAATTTGGAAAATTAAAATATGTACACCACACCATTGATTCCTAGTCAGAATTTCAATGGGCAACTGCTCTGAGTTCTAAAAAGGCTGATTCTGTAATCACACATTTACTAGAATTTATGGCCACCATGATTATACCTGTACAAATTAAGACTGACAATGCTCCAGTATGTCTCAGGTAAAATGAAACAGTTTTTTGCTTATTACAATATAAAGCATATTACAGGTATACCACATAATCCTATAGGCCAAATAGTCATAGGAAGATCAAATGGAACTCTAAAGGGTATGCTACATAAACAGAAAGGGTTAACAAAGACCCCCAGAAATAGATTACATAATGCTTTATTAACTTCGAATTTTCTCAGTGCTGATGAGAAAGGAACAACAGCTACAGAGATACATTGATTAATAGAAAAAAAACTACAGAATTAAATCAGCCTGTATACTTTAAAGATGTGCTAACCTCAGAATGTAAACCAGGATATGTGTTACGTTGGGGTGAGGTTTTGCTTTTGTTTCCATGGGAGCTATGGATACTATCAAAATTGATAACGGTTCAATTTGAACAAGAGAGACCTCTTAATTAGAAGAGTTGATAGTTCATCAACCAGCATGACCATTTAATTTAAATTAACTTATATGACTAGCAAAAGCTTTTCATTTGATCAGATATAACTTGCCCAATGGGACCTTCCCATTGTTAGGGTTGGGAAAGGATTTTGCTTTTGTCTTTCAGGAGAATGAAGGCTAAGGAATCTGAAGATCACTGGACAAATGAGCCATCTGATGAAAAAGGACAAATCATCCAGAAAAAATGTCCCACAAAAAAGATTTTCTTTAGTGAACCATGACCATGCCTAATAATGACCTTTGAAGTCTTTGAAAAGATAATGCAATCCCACAATGATGATTTCACATAGACTATGATAACGCCACCAAGCTGACAAACACCACCCAAAGATTGGCTTTGAACTAAAACTGTTCAATCCCCGAATATCAAATAGGAGCAAAACCTTTGTCCCAACTCCTTCTCATCAGTCTGGGGAGGGGGCTCTTCAAGTACCTCCAATTTGATTTCCTGACCAATCATAGTATTTGATTGCTCCAGTGAGTCTCTTTCCCATGGGGGGGAAAGCTCTGAGGTAGCTGTTCTCCAGGCCTTCTGTTTCCTTTGGATAATCAGCAGATGGACGCTATACTGGTAAAGGCGGCCTACACATCCCAAGATATAGTGTACATAAATGGCCAAACACCCAGTTACAAACAGATAGGTGTTCCTCAACCAGATTCAGAATAATTAGAACTCACAGACATCTGGGAAATTTGTGCAGCAGGTCTATCAGGAAGCTGGGAATCATTCCTTCCCTTCCCAGACTGCAGGATGTAACATTGGAGGATCAGGAACACAGGTTCATCAAATCTCACTCCAGTTCCTCTGGGGGAGCGTCAACAGACACAGTGTCATCAGGGCCAGCATTCCTCTGTTCCACACACTGCAACAAGTGCTCAGGCAGCCATTGAGTCTCATCTTCTTCCTGTGAAAAACCACAAACATGCCCTCCACCCCATATTACAACAGGGTCAGGTCCCTTCCATAATCTAGTGCAAGGCTCTGAAGATATGATGACTATCTGTATACAAATTAAATAAACTATTTATAAGAAGCTGGAAAACCACAGCTACAGCTCATAATTCTACTATCTGAGATGAAGCTGGAGTTGTTTGTACTACATAACCTTTACCATTGATAATGTAAGCAGCTCTCCCATTGGAGGAATCACCAATAAAAACTGGCATAGAATCTTTTATAGGATCTTTCATCATAACCTTCGGAAATATAAAAGAATGCATTTTGACAAATTTGAACAATTGAGCTGGAAAATGCTTATCAATTTGGCCCCCAAACTGAGAAAAAGCAATTGCCCAAGAATCACTATTTTGAAATAACCAATCAACTTGTTGTTTAGTAAAAGGAACACTGATCACACGTGTTTCTCTACCAAAATATTGCCTAGATTCCATCTAGCTTTTCTGTACTAAACAAGCTACTGCTTCATAATAAGGGTTCAGTACTGGGGCTGGAGATACAGGCAGATGTAACCACAGTAACGGCCCATCTTGCCATAACATAGCTGTTGGAATTATGTCATGTAGGAAGCACACAGGTTTCCTGTGGTTTTGCATAGTCAACATAGCGTACTTGCTGATGTTGAATGGCATGCTCCACCTGAGCAGCACCCATTTAGCAGCATCTATAAGATACCTAGGGGAACTGGGATCACTGTTCTGCTTAAGAATCTCACTGAGGGGCTCAAGATGTCCCATAGACAATTTCAAATAGGCTCACAGCCATTGAATATCCCCCAATAATTTTTGAAAATCATTCAAAGTTTGTAAGCTATCTTCCCTGGGCCATGGTGTCATTAGAGACCTTTCAGGGGGTCTTGGCTGGTCAAACCTTGATGTATCTTAACCTGGAACAAATCCATAGCCTCTGGCTTTCTGTGGGAACAAAAGCAGAGTCTCCTTTCCAAAACAGCACATCCTTACATCCAAATTTTGAAGTCAAGGTACCTTTAAAATATACATTTTGGCATAACTCAACAGCTTTTACAACCAAATGTTTTTCTGCAGTTAAAAATCCCAAAGACAACACAATCCAGATTCTCTGTGTAATATTCATCTTTATGTGGCTTATTTTTTATATTAATTTTACTGTCTCTTTAAAGACTTTATTTTTTTAAAACTATGTATTTGTTTCTATAACTGTATATATCACCTTTTTTGTCTCTTTCAAGTCATGTATATTTTACACACATTGTAAACTATTACATCTGAATCTGTCTTATTGTGAATCTATTGCTTTAAACTGCAGCAGCTGTGGCTGCTGGCTCCACCCACCTCAGCTTCCCAGCATGGCGGTGGTGCATTTTCTGCCAGCTCTGGGAGCTATTGTGGGTCTATGCTTTTATCCAAGCAGTGTGTAGCCCAGAAACCTCTTTTTTTGTTTTGTACTAGCAAAGGCTAAATCTACCACGCAGTTTAATATGCCACTTGCAGAGACCTCATTCCCGCCATACTGCAGGTCAACTGCACATGCTAGGAACCCATAAGTAGCTTAAACTGGCAGCTGCCACCCATTTGAGAGAGACAATTAGGAAGCTGTTTTTAGCTCCGTTTTAGAATCTTTTTTCAGGTTTTAGGTGGAAACTCTTGCCAACATGTTAGACGCCATTTGTAGCTAGAGTTTGCCTTCCTGGCCCACAGTCAGGACAAATCTCTATCACCCACCAGTCCCACAGCCGCTCAGACCTGACCAAGTAAACACAGAGACTTATATTGTTTACAAACTGTATGGCCATGGCAGGCTTCTTGCTAACTGTTCTTACAGCTTAAATTAATCCATTTCTATAAATCTATACCTTGCCACGTGGCTCGTGGCTTACCGGCATCTTCACATGCTGTTTGTCATCCTGGTGGCTGGCAGTGTCTCTCTGACTCAGCCTTCCACTTCCCAGCTTTATTCTCCTCCTTGTCCCGCCTACACTTCCTGCCTGGCCACTGACCAATCAGTGTTTTATTTATTGACCAATCAGCAACACACTTGACATACAGAACATCCCACAGCAGCTGTCTCGGTACTTTCTCTGGGGCAATTACTAACCCTGCACCAACAAGTTCCTGCTGAAGTTGTCCATATGTTGCAAGCAAAATTCCATCGTTTTTATGGGCGAGCAAACTATCATCCATATAATGAATAATATAAACTTGTAGA